GTAAATTAAAATTTCGTCTTGATTAATTATTATATTAAATAAAATTTTTTATTTTTCTATACAAATTAGTGAAAAAATATATAATTTAATAATGGTATTAAGTTTTTTTTTAAAAAATAAAATTTAAATTATAATATTTATTATTGTAAATTAAAATTAGAATCTTGATCAATGTAAATAAAAATTATTATCTTAATTAATTATTACATTTGATATAGAATTTAAACTTAAAAAATAAAATGTTGTAAAAAAATATATGTACTATATTTAATATTTTTCAAAAGTTTAAGGGGCACATGTCAATTGTGAAAAATAACTCCGTTAGTTTAATTAACGAAATGTTTGTCAAGTAGACAATTTTAAAATAAAATTGATAGTTTATAAATAATTTTGAAAGAAAAAATTGTTTCTAAATTAAACTGAAATAAACCACATAGTTAATAGATTATTTATTAAATTTAGCCGAAAAAAAAAGTAAGCTTTTGGTGACCTTAAAGTGGTAATTAATTCTTCTTTTAGTGGCAAAAGGTAATTGTTTGCCCTTAAACTTTTCGAATTTGAAGTATTTTACCTCTCATATTATAATATATGATTTTTTATCCTTCATGAGTTTAGGGAAATAAGGCCAAATTTAACGCTGAAGGCTCACGTGCAGCATGTGCATCGTTAATCTCCGTTATGCATTTACATGTCAATGCTAACTCAAATTTTTTTACATGTTAGCAAGTCTAGCTTGGACTTTATGATAATGACATGGAAAAAAAATAATAATATGATAAAAAAAATAAAAAATTCTTTTTTTTTTTTTTATCCTTCTCTTTTCCTTTCTCTTTCCCATTGGAACCCTTTTCTTTTTTTTCCTTCTCTTTTCCTTTCTCTCTCCCTTGGAACCCAATAGAATTCATCAGCAAACAGAAGCCTTTGATGGAACCCACACCTAGGTTCCTTGGAACCCAAGCATGGGTTCCATGGAACCTAAGCATTGGGTTCGATGGAACCCCGGCATTGGGGTTCCAAGGGACCCACGCCTAGGTTCCAAAGGAACCCAATGGCAAACAATTTATAAAACAAAATTCTTTTTTTTTTTTTGGTTTTCTGTGGGTTTTGTTTTTTGATGATGATAAGAAACCCAGCAAGGGTAGAGATTTATTGAGGTGAATAGATCGATTGAGTTGTTAGAGATTTGTAGAAGTTGAGGGTTCCCATTGACCTACACCTGCATTCCTTCGAACCTAGCACGCCTAGGTTCGTTGGAACCTAGGTACGGGTTCTATTAAGGAACCCAATGACAAAAAATTTAAAAAAAATTTCTTTTTTTTTTT